TCTGGCCCCGCGGCTGCGGCGTGCGCCGGCGGGGCACGGCCTGGCCCCTGGCTCGGCCCCCGGCTCGTGCGGAGCGGGGCCTTGGTCTGGCGAGAGGCCGGCGGGCGATGCGTGCCGCTGAGGAGGAACGGGCCGTCTTTTAACTACAGTTGTGTGATCGTTCGCTAGAGAGCAGGCCCGGTTAAAGGCCGGTGTGATTGAGCAGGATACCGAGGAGTGGCAGAAAGATTCAAGTTTTGCAGGACTGGAGAGAGTAGGAGGCGTGGACTTATCTTACATCAAAGGAGATGATGCGAGCGCCTGTGCTTCCCTTGTGGTTCTCAGCTACCCCGCTCTCGAGGTAATGGCAAGTGAACACTCACCCCTTAGGGCTGTATAAGGGTTTTTTTTAAGAAAACTTGCTCAAAGGCTGTTACCTACTTCATCTCTGCACCACAGGACATCAGTACGTTATCACTTGTATGTTCAACAAAACCTTCCAACTGTATGTTCTGCAGGGACGATAAATAGAGGAAAGAACAAGTGTAAGGATCTAAACATCAGTTTGGAAGTATGTGAGACAAACTGCTCGTAGTTGCAAGAGGCTCTTAGGAATTACAGGGAAGTTATGAGGAATTGAAGGATAGCTTTAGTATGCGTTAAAGTCAGTCAGGAGTAAATTGGAAAACGCAGTGATGAGATGTAGCCTGTGGACAGGTGCAGAAGACTTTAAATGATTAGATTAATACTGGAAATAATCAATTTCAGGCACTACCCAGAAAGAGACACAAAGGATCAGTGTTGGTGCTTATCAAGAGACAAAATTAAACCATAGGTAGCTCTCATAAACAGCTGATATCCTATTTGTGACCTTTAGCTGGTAATCGACTAGTAACGTAAGATGTAGCTTACGCCTTTTCAAATCTACCACGAGTCCCACATCCCGCAGTCGTTTAATTTGAAATAATAAAGATACTTGATCCCTTTTCCAGTTTTCAAGCTGACATAAAAATTGTCTTTTACTGTAAAACCTATCACAAACAGAGATACAGTTTCATATCAACCACTGGAATTTTTAAGACTTTACTTTCAGATCCTGCCCTGATTCTTGATTTGTCCTACATGGACATTTTTCAGCTACTATCATGTCTCTCGGGCTTTCTTTTAGAATCCTCTCACCTGTTCTCAAACAGAGGCAGATGTGCTTTGATAATGCTCTGACTGTGTGAACTCCCCACTGTGTATTTGAATAGCTGCCCTGACTTTTTTCAAGGACTTCGCTCTTAAGCGGGGCATGGTAGGACGTGTCCAGCCTTCTTCTGTCTGCAGCCCACTATTCACCCCTTTCTCTCACTTAGAGATAGATTGACACAACCCAGTGGCATTAGCTTTGTGGGAGAGAGCCAGAGCGACAGAGTACTTTAAAAAGATGAGAGAGTAAGGGACATAATTGCAGATGCAACTCCTCTGGCATTTAAGAACTAAGTAAGTGCTGGAGATCGTTTTCTCTGTACTATGCTCCTGTGGTCCTAGGTGCTGTACGAGGATTGCCAGATGGTTGCTGTGACGGCCCCGTACATAGCAGGATTCTTAGCCTTCCGAGAGGTCCCTTTCCTGGTGGAAGCAATTCAGAGACTTCAGCAGAAAGAGCCCAGGCTCAAACCTCAGGTGTGGCACGTTTCTTTGTCCCAAGCAGAGATGTCAGGAAGGTTTAGAGTACTGCTGAAAGATGACCCTCTGTCTGCTGAGGCAGCACCATCTAGCTGCTCTCCACTGACAGAGCAGAAAGCTCAGTGTCAGAGTCATACTGAAGCATCTATGGCACTGACTTTAGGGACTGGGAATGCTGAGCCAAAGCCAGCCAAGCATCCCTTGGCCATGAAAATCCCATTCTGCATATAGCACCAATGACAAGCGCTGCCAGTAACCAAGAGCTCATGCTACTGGGGCACTGGTTATTTAAAGTCACAAGTTAAACAGAGCACGCTGAGTGGAGTCCCTTAGGCAGACAAGTCAAAGGATTGAAACATGGACTTTTCCTTTCTCATAGGGCCAGCATCACTGCTCCTTGGAGTGTCTCTCAGGGCACAGAAAATAACTTTTTTTTTGGCCTTTTCAGGTGCTGCTTGTAGATGGGAATGGCCTGCTCCATCACAGAGGTAGGTCTTCATTAGAGAGCCTTGCTCTTCTGCAACCCTATGCTATCACTTGAGATTCCTGTTCTTGGGTATCCTGCATCACATTGGAGAGCTTCTTACTAAGTTGCAAAGATAAGGGATGGAAGAAGGAGGCTCAGTATTGATGGGTTAATAATCTGAATTTTTGCCTGTCCCTCAGAGGTACTCATCAGATTCTCTTGCAAGTTCCTGATTCCTCAAAGGTGGCAATTTTTCTGTCCGGGAAACAGTTCCTTTTTATGGCGGGGCTGACTTGCATGGCCCTGGCGTTGGTATTGTAGCATTTTTGAGAGCAATATGCAATATTGCTTTTATGCCTCCTTGTTGGCAGGATTTGGTGTGGCCTGTCACCTGGGGGTCCTGACAGATCTACCGTGCATTGGAGTGGCCAAGAACCTCCTGCAAGTGGATGGCTTGGCCAGGGATGAGCTGCACAGAGAGCAGGTTGGGCCAGATTGAGAATTCTTTCTGCTCATTAATATCCAAAGCAAATTGGGACAGCCACATAAAAGTACTTTCTAACCAGCTGACCTTGCGTGATTTTATGCTCTAGATTCGTTCCCTGCAGACAGAAGGAGATGCATTCCCACTGACTGGCACTTCAGGGAAAGTCCTGGGCATGGTAAGCTGGGGGAGTTCCCGATCCATTTGGCCATCAGTGAGTGTTCCAGCTTCATGTAGCTGGAAGCCCTGAGAAATGTTGTCTCTGTAGTGGGACTATCTCGGTGACATCGGTTCAGGAAGACCAGGTCTGAGCAGGCTACCAGGTACACTGAATTCCTCTTTCTGTCAGTTCAAGCGTTCTTAGAAATTCTTAGAAGGGGGTGCTCATTCAGGTGTTGGATATATTCATGTGCATGGCTATGGCATCTGAGATGATATGCCTCAGTATCCCTGTTCATGAACCACAGCCAAGGAGAGGTGCCAGTTCTATAGCAGTTTCCCAGGATGCAAAATGGGAGCATATGTCTCAAAACAGTGCTGCGCAGGAAGTGAGCAGATTTAAGAAATGTCCTTCCTCTGGTGATATTTCAGTACAGTCTGCATTAGCAGGTCTGCACACTGCTTTCCACTGCTGGTCCAAAAGGGCAGACAGTCCCTGTGAGGAGATATTGGGAAGCAGAGGATCAAGAAAGCTGGGACCTACCAGATGCAGACCCGTTCTGAAAGCAGGCTGGCTGGCTTATAATTCATCTGTCACTTTGTATTTGTTCAAAATAAGCCCCTTAAGTATTTGATCTTTCTGGTTTGTGAACGCACAGGTCCTGCGTAGCTACAACAACAGCTCTAAGCCCCTTTATATCTCTGTGGGCCATAGAGTGTGCCTGGAGACAGCCGTGCATCTAGTCAAGTCCTGCTGCAGGTACCGGATCCCGGAGCCCATCCGACAGGTACAAAAGCGGTGGGAACTGAGGAAGGGGAAAGCAGGCCTGAAACAGGGAAGCAGGCAAATAGGCAGAGGAGGGGGCATGGCAGCTGTGGATACCAAGCCTATGATGATGTGTCAGGGCCTCAGCTGGCTATACTTCTGCAGCTGTAGCCATCCAGCTTCCTGGCCTGTTCTCTCCAGCCTGCCGTGTTGTTATTTATGCAGCAAAGCCCAAACTGATCCTTCCTTCTTCTTTGCTTGTCCTTCTGAAGCAGTGCCCAGAAGCATACGCAGCCCTCACTGCAGACCCAGCCTGACTGATTTCTTGGTTCCTCTGCGGGCAGCTTCTGTTATGCTGATGGTTATAATACAGAGGATCTGGAAATGCAGTTTTCCTGGGCACCCTGAGCCTAGCACAGACTGCAGTGCTGCTCCTCTGGGCTTTTCTCTGCTATTGCACTCTGCAAGGAGCTGTGGGCTCTGGGGGTGACAGGCAGCCAGTAGGTGACAGCACTGGATCACATTCAGTGAACTGCAGCTGCCACTAGGGCTCTGCTTCAGACTAATTAAATCACAGCAGGGCTTGAGAAAAGGATCTGGAGAGTGTAAAGCCGCTGGGACTTCTAGCCTGACAAGTGCTTCCCTTCTCTCAGGGTCACCCTGCCATTATCAACTCAGTTGGACCTGACCCACTGCGTGTTCAGAGCAGGGCCTGTTCAGATGTCCCTGTTTGTAGCATTGCCCTGGAACACGGAGTTCACGTTGCTACACCTCAGTGCTTGTCAGGTGTCTGGCCACCTTTGCTCTGCAGCTCGTCAGAGCAGCATTAAGAAGATCCCGCTGAGGGCTGTTATGCAGTCTCCACAAACAGGAAGTTCTCTTTGGTACTGCAGTGTTTTTTGAACAGAATATTGAGTCTATAGTTATAGAACAGACAGAAATCTAACATCTTCGAGCAAAACAGTCCTTGGAGTGTCCATACCAGAAAGTGGATTTTCTGATCTCATAAACCGCTACCTGCCAGACTTGAGCAGGCTAATAGATCTTCTTATGTAATCTCTTCCAGCAAGGGACAGATGCCTCAGCAGAGCTCTAAGCTAGCTCTGCAGTTTGGCACGTTGAGAGGAAAAGGGGAAAGCATTCCCTTTGGAAACAAATAGGCATCTTGCAGCTTTCCATTACCTTCATTTTATTACCAGCTCATTGTAGCAGTTATCTGTGGTCTGAGACTCTTCCAGTTCTCTAACTACAACCTTTAAATACAGTGATGGAATGGATCATGACCACTTCCCTTACAGAGAGATCTGAGATCCAGAAAAGAGTATATTTAATGTAGAGGTAGAGGAATGGCATGGGATAAGAACACGTAAACCTTTTCATAGGACAGATTATTCACCTAATTGGAAAAAAGATCTGCTAAAACGTAGGCACACGTGTCAGCTGAGAACAAGCTTCTCCCCATCACACTTTCTCTATGTGGAAACTATCATAGGTGCTTTCAGGAAACAGTTTAAAATTTTTCTAAAAATAAATATTTTTAAACTTTTTTTGGTGTAACGTGATGGGAGTGTGCGACGTTTTGCAAGTGGCCCTATAGATGGGTTCTGTGTTCCAAAGATAGTGGCGTAGAATTTACTGACCTGAGGGAATCAAAGGAGGAATTGGATGAAAATGAACAACAGGTGAGTTGTATCAGATCTTGACATGGGGCAGTGCTGGAAGCTTCAGCTCCTGGGCACCTAAAACTGGAATTAGGAAGTAGAAGGCTGCAGCAAGTCCTGTCTTGGGTGACTTCCTTGGCCTCTTTGCTATGGCATGTCCCTGGGACAAGCTTGCAGATCTGATGGGTGATGTGCTCATGGCTTTTCCAGTGTCCAGTGAAAGACATCTGGGGCATTAGCCCTTTGAAAGTTCTGGTAGCCCAGGAATTTACTACTCCTAAGAGAGCTCAGCTGCTGTGGCTGTGATTATGGCTTATATAAAGGCAATACTATGCTGCAAGATACGTAGTGCTGCGTGGGAACTGAAACCTTCCACTTTCTTAGAGGAATAGCTGGCCAGTCTGTATAGGGTATGTTGTGCCTGCTGGGCCTGGAACAGTATCTAGGCAGTGGTCAGAAGTGGTTTGATTTGACCCGTGATACACATGGTCGTGCTGCTGAAGGAATCGTGGCTTGGAGGCAGGTGGGAGAAGTGATCTTTCAGAGAAAGCAGAGGGAAGTTCATCATTAGCTACACTAAGTATTTACATCCTACTTAGGCCTTATTCCACGTGTAACTGCAAGACTGAGATGGGAGAATTTTGCTTGCAGAGGGGTCATCTCTCCGCTCAGCCAGCCTGTCAAATTTTGAGGATCCTCTGCAGGAAGTTGGTCCTTTAGAACTACCCAGACAGAGGGATTGACGTAGGCAAGAGCTGTCATCCCGGACTCATAAGCAAAACATTCAAACTGGGCAGCACTGGAACAATACCAAGCCCTTCCAAGAGCTGCTGGCCTTGCCTACTTCTGGCAGAAGTCAGAACCCGTCTCTGTTGTTTGTTCATGCTCTAAGCCTGCTCAGACCCAGGATTCCCGGGTACAGCATGAGCAGCAGAAGCTTTTAACGCTCTCCAACTGACAAGGCTTGCACTGGGGCTGATTCTTCTACTTCTGCTGTTTCAGCTTCCTGGTTGGCTGCACACCAGGCTTCTGCTCATTTGATGATCCTTTTAGCTCCAGCTGGCACCTTGCCCAGCTGGTTCCTGCTGGCTCAGGATGTCGCTGATAGGGCAGTCTGAGGTCGCTCTAGCCCACCAAGAGGGACAGAAGTAGGCCTGCCCAGAACTGTGAATTTCTGCAGGTCGCTTTATGTGAAGTATTAAACACTTATCCAACTGAGAACTGAAAAACAAGCCGTCATCTCTACCCTGTGTGTAAATAGCTCGTGCTACCGGCTGGGAAATCAGTAGCTGATGCCCTGAAACTCTTAAGGCCTTGAGATGTAGCCCCCCCCCCCCACTACAAACTTGCTGTGTACACAGGGATGACCAGTGCCCCCTCATAAAATAGGCAAAGCAACAATTCCAGACCCTAAAGCCAGCACTAGTCCCCTCTGAAAATAGAAGCAATCTGTGAGGATTATTACGGGACAGTTATCCATCTTATTGATTAGCCTCTTGGTTAATACGCTGGGTTAAGCTGTCTCTCAGCACTGTGTTAGGAGTGAGGACTGGACAGTAACTTGCTACCTAATCAAGCATTAGCTTATGTTGTCAGCAGAACTTGGTTTGGGATTTTTCTTCCCTAGAAAAATAGTGTGTAGATCTGACTCTTGCTGTCTTGGTCTCCCAGTAGGGACTGTATTAATTTCCCTTGTTATAAAATGCATCACGTAATCTCTTATCCTGAAGAGTGATCAAAGTTATTTGTCAGTTCAGTTATGAAACTGTCCAATTATAGAGAGAAGGGAAAAAAAATCTCCCAAACAAACCACCCCTTATCTAAGTAATTTTCATTCTCTAGCTTGCAGAATTCTTAAGCAGTTGTGGAGCTGCATTTCCAGCAGTGAGCAGGCAGAGCCTCCACCTGAGAGGCCTCACTGGGAGCTGGCAGGGATGGGAAGATGATGGTGGAGAGCTTGTTGAGGTAGGGGAGAGACTCCTCAGAAGCAGAATAAGGATGAGAGTTGCAAATGCTTCAAGGACAGCCACCAGGAATGTATTAACCCGCTTTACTGGCATGATCATCATATGCTGTGAAGCTTTTCCAGCTGGAAAGGTCACAGACTGCTTTTTAAGGGGAGAGAGATACTGTTATCTTTGAGGTGGGGCACAGCAGCTTTTCTGAAATGTCACCCTGTAGCAGTGTTTTTGAGAAAGAAATTTTCTGGGAAAGAAAAACTTTGAGAGAACGTAAAGAGCAGCCAGTGCTGGAAGTTAGCGTAGAGACCAGGATCCATGTGTTTGTGAAAGCATCCAAGAGTCATAGGCTAATATGATGCAGCGCCGGAAAGCTGACCAATAACGCTTCTGGGGGACAAGAACATCAGGTAAACGTCCAGCAACACACTTATAGCTGTGGGGATTTTTGTTGGTGTTCTCCTGGTCGAGTTCTGACCACCTGCTATTCTGTGTTGCTGGAGACTGAACACTCAGGCCTGAGCTTAATTGAAGCTCCTGGGCCCATGGGCAGAGGGTGTGGGTGGAAGCCTCAGGTGAGGCTGGTCAGGGCCATTAAGACCTATTTGTGCATTTAAGGCACTGACAGGCCTTTTGGTGGGGATGTAGAGGGTAGCAATTCTCTGTTCATATAAAGAGAGGAACGCAGTAGTAATTCCATGTTTGCTTGCCCTGACTCAGAAGGACTCATGTCACAGGAGAGCAAATCAGATGACGAAGGGAGGAGCTGGGCATTTGCATGAGGAGGGGTTCGATGCGGTCTGGCAATGGCTGTGAGCTCAGTTTGAAGCAAAAGGAGGGCAGTAAACTATGAGTGTGGTTTAGTCTCAGCCTTAATCTTTTTGATTTTTGGCCCTAGCAGGGATTCTACTGGAAAGCAGAACCCAGGGGCCTTAGCACTGATATGGCCTGGCATGTAAACATGTTCCTGTTGTCTTGCTTGACAGCCTTGCTATTGTATTCATACATAGGACAGTGTGAAAGGTATGTCTTTCAGTCATTTGCCTTGTAAATGCTGCCAAGAAGGGATAGAGCCCAGGATGTGCTTGTGTCTTGTCTCTGTTTGCTTTTATTGGATGTTTTTACCTGCTTTAGCTGCATAATTACCATCACACAGCCAGCCTGCAAGGCACATAGGCAGGATGAGCCAAGCTCTTGCCTAGGGGAGAGGATATGCAGCAGACTAGTGATGTACTTCTCCATCTGTTGCTGCATCATGCAACTGCTGGAACAGAAGAAGTAAAGGGACGGGTATGGGGATGGGTCCAAGAATGGGCAATACCAGCTTCTCTCTTTTCATCCTATGTCATCTTGAGAACTATCCTGTTTGTTGGTTCCCCATCTTCCCAAACTCTTCACAGCCCTCTTTGAAGCCCTGTTGCCCCTCCTAATTTACAGTTTTCAGTGAAGAGGAGAACCCCATTTCTCAGCTGAGTAGCCATCACCAAAGCCAGTCATTTGGGAACATCAGTGTCATCTCTGTAACAACCATGGATGATCTCAGAGCACTCTGAGCATGGAGGCTGCAGCCTGCACCTGATTGCAGCACCAGTGGGAGTCCCAGTTAGTGTAGTCCTTGAACACCACTGCTGTTTCACTGACTGTACAGTGGAGGCTATCACAAAATCACCGCAGAGTCTGTGGGGTGCTTTTTCTTCTCGGTCTTTGCTGTCACTCCTCAGTCCTCCCAGCTTAAGGGCAGCTAAGCTTCACTGTGGTCTGTAAATGTGATGAGTATTTCCTTGGTCTGCCAGAGCAGGTGAAGTTCTTGGGCTGGTAGCAACTTCACCTGCAAGTCCAGAGGTGGGCAGGGGCATCTCATCCCTTGCCTCATCCTCTGGCTTTCTTTGCCATGTTGATGGGCCTCCCCAGGCATATCCCCCTCAAAGGAGTTGTTAGCTAATCCGGTAGGAATGAGACGCTGAATCCTGGCACTGTCCCTCGTGCCCAGGTGCCAGGGTCTCTAAACCAGAGTCACTGGTGGCACCGGTGAGCCCTTGTAGCACGTTTTCAGGAAGAAGCCCACAATTAGCTTCATTTCTCTTCAGTTTGGAGGTACGTTGTTGTTGGGGTCAGTCTGCGTGAAGCTTGCTCAAGCGCTGTCAAGCTCCAAACCCTCCTGGCCAGAACTGGACAAACATTTAAGAGTGGTTACAGCTGACTCATGCAGTGGAGCAACTAGGAACACCAAGATGCAGTGTCTGGGTAACGAGCTCTGTCACCCCTTTGAGAGGCTCCCTGCAGCAGATTGGCTGTTACCAGAGTGACTGACTCACATTGGAGCAGTCCTCCCACTGGGAATGGCAGGTAGGGAGCATGCTCTAGCACAAGCAGGGTCCAGCATTCTGCTGCCCCAGGATAAGTCAATAAAATGCTTCAGTATTTCCCCACCTTTTGAGGCAGGATCCATAGATGCCGCTGCCTGGTGTTAAATTGCCTTGCAACACTGCAGAGGTCTACCCTCGCATCCATATGGCTATGGCATTCCAGCAACTTTCCGGAGACGTCCTTTTGTACGTTGGTGTAAGCTGAAGGTCTTCGCTTTACCACTCCTGAAAGCTCTCTGGGAGGTCTCAGCAGAAACCTCCACTCATCCCTGACTCCATGTGATCCATTTATGGAGTGTTGAGGGTGGTTGAGCAGTTTCTGTTGGTTCAGTGGGAGGACTGATTTACCTTTTGGGGTATTTCCTCTCCAGGGAATAAGGACTTCTGTCCTGTCCTCAAGGTTCTGGCAAGTCTGTTCCATCTCCTTGTTGCTCATCAAAAGATGGAGGAACTAGACCCTTCTCAGACTTCCAGTTCTTCTCCAGCCTGGCTCTGCTTCCAGGGTTCATGAAAGGGAGGGGGCTGCAGCTCTGGCCTAGAAACAAAGCACAATGGAAAAGCAGCCTCTCACCTCAGCAGTTCTCACTTTGCCACTGGCCACCTTTTCTTGCTTAGCCTCTGGAAGTCCTTGCTGGCCTGTCACATCCCTGAACCATTTGGAGGTCATCTTAGGAACTGTTCAGTGTAGGTGTAAGGTAAGAGAGGCTGTTGCAGTTCTTAGCCTGTCAAGGATTCCAGCTGGGTCAATGTTTGCTGAAGAGGCTCACCGTACTGCAATGTGTGCTGGAAGTCTATGTTAATTCATCCTTCGGGTCTTGTGGAGACCTTTGGAGAAGGCTCGCTGCACTCATCTGAGCTGCTACAAGGATGTGCTGAGTAAGCCCAATCTGCTTCCTAGTCTGGCTGTTCATCCTGCAGTACTTGGGGGAAGCCAAGGCTGAGCAAGTCTGCAGCGCTGCTTGGCACGAACTGTCTGTGCCCACTGTCTCCTCTGTGCTTAGCATCACCTCCTTGTTCCTATGAAAAGTGAAGGGGTAGACAGTCAGGATTCAGAGAACATCATTTCTGCTTCTGAAATGAATTGTACCTCATCAGGGCTGTTAGTCCAGGACCCTCTATTTCTTCGTTTTAAGTCTTTGGTCTCCTGACCAGCTCGCAGCGGGACACAGAGACCAAACAAGAAAAGAAACACAGGTTTCTCTTTGCAGGGCAGATGTACTAGGGTTATTTGTGATGTACTGACATGAGGGTGTGCGGGGGCTTACTAAGATAACTAAGGGGACACCAAGCAGGCTGATCAGCCCCTTGTCATCCATCTTCCTCCTTAATTCCAGGCTGATATTAGATCGAGGGAGTATATTCGGAAGCACCTGTGTTCACCACTGGAGGTCATATCTTCTGGGCCAAAGAGGTAGGTGTGTGGGCAGCCCAAGCAACTGCCTGTCCACAGGGGATCTGCTCATGTAACGATCTTCAGTAATGGCATTAAAGGGATAGCCAGGGTAACAAGGTGAGCTCAAGTGACATCAGAGCACATGCTGCCTCCCTAAAGGGTGATTTCTGGTGATTGTAGCCATGCCACTTTACACGTTTCTTCCAAAGAGCACGGTATCTTATACTGGAGAAGGTCACTGGGGATTTGGTCTGTTTCCGGTCCCTGTGATAAGCAAAGCACTAACGCCCACAGGTGTGACATAAGGGTGAGCAGAAATACCCTGCAAGGAGCTGCTTTCTGTCCACAGAAAACAAGGAGAGGGTCAAACTACCCCACTCTTACATAATGTAGGACAACGGCTGCTCTGTTACACCAGTGTAAATCCATAACAAGTCCATAGCCGCGTAGGAGTTACATGTGTCATGGTTACACTGCCTTTCCAGCGTAGTTCATGACAGTTCGTTGTTGGGTTCTGTCAGACCTGCAAAGATACCACGTTGTACAGATACCAGATGCAACTGCCTAGAGAGCTACTCGTGGACAAACGAAGTATGTCAAGACTAAACGAAGTGTGTCAAGACTCAAAGCCCAGTTGGCTCTGAGGGTCATACTGGACCAGAAAGTGAAAAGTGAAGGCTGCTCATGGCAGTAATGAGGGATTACTTACGCTGAGTAGAGGCAGCTCTTATGGATTCCTTAGGACACATGGACGGTGCAACTTAATGTGCTCTGCTCACCTCCTCTCTTTGAATCATGTAGCCACAAGCAAAAATCAGGCTTCTCCTACTCTTGTAGTGACTTGTACATCTGCACAGTCCAGCCAGTCCATGGGGATAGCCCTGTGCAATGCCACACTGGCTGCCTCCCATTTCTGCTAGTGCTTCATCCTGACCTCTAACACCTTCCAGCTATGGCAGATGGTGACGCTCACACAAAGACTGGCTGGTTTGGAGGCTGGGAACTGAACAGAAACACGAAACGCATTCCATTTACAACTATATTTCCCAAAACCTGTGTGTTCTAGCCCCTTGTTCCCTGGGTGACAGTTATTTGGTCTTCTCGGCTTTTGCATTTTTAAGTCTATCATCCTTCCTTGTTCTTGTTCCTAGGAAAGAAAAGGAGACTGAGCCTGATCATTAGTCTGATGTCAGAAGAAACTGCAGGGCCCCTGTGCACTGAATCCTCTCCTCCACCAAGAGCGTGGGTCTGTAAAGTGCAACAGCCAAGTGCCATGCCTGGGAAGCCCACTCCTGAGCAGTGCAGGGCCACATCAGTCAGGACGATGCCAGCCACTGTGGGGGGTTCTGGTGGGCAGGCAAACCAGCCTCTGTTCAAGAGTAATGTCTAGAGCATATTTGTACGGTTGGTTTTTAAACAAGCACTGTAAAAGCATGTTTGTAAATTTGCTACAGCTTACTTGAGTATTTGGGCGATTACAGGAGGTGATTTACAAAAAGAGGCTGTGGCACTGAACGTGGTTATAAACCTTTGGCTCCCACCCTCTGTGAGATAGAGACTTCCCTTCTTGTCATTTTTGGAACTTCTTCCACCCAGTCCCTTCAGCCTGTGCTCTCACGCTTGCTTTACACATCTCCGAGGAACAGAAGCCCAGTATGTAGCTCCGGCTGGTCCTGACAGACGGGCAGAGGACTCTGTGTTTCAGGTGGGCGTGTGATTCACGAGGGAGGGGATGGAGCCAACAGTCTGCTGCATATTTTGGAAGAGGCTTGGATGTCTGAGCTCTGGTACCTGAGTAGCTTTCTGTCTATTTTGTGTCAATGGCTTCTGCTGCCCTGCTGCATTCGTGCCACGCAGCAGCTACCAGACCTTAATGGCCTTATGTAAGTCGTCATTTGCACTGGGCACGTGGTGCTCCGGTGTGGCTGGTCTTGGTGGGAACTTACTCTGGATTGCTGCTAAAGCAAAATTCACGTACAAGGGCATTATGGTGCGTAGATTCGCTTGGTGTATTATTGTGACCCTTTCCACCGTGACTGAGCTAGAGGGGTGACGATGCAGATCAGTTCTTCCTGAAGAGAAGAACATGTCAGGGGAAAGGAAAATTTCCCATCAAGGGGAATGGGGAGGGGGCGCCTCACTCGTTCACAATCAGTCAAGATGGACAGATCCCAGGCCTGAGAGTTTGCAGTCTGAATAGAGTGGGAGCACTGATGTCAGGTCAGTGGGGAAGCTCTCTGTGACTAACCTGTTTGGATCAACATTCCTCAGTTAAGAAGTCTGTGAACCTTTGCATTAACAGCAGAGCACATAGCAAACAGCTTCTATCCCTGAATCAATACAGCTAGTCTAGTTTAGTCTCTTTAGTCCAGAGTTTCCTCTCTGAAGAGGAAAAAGAATGTTTTCCGAGTGATTGCAGAAGGGTGTTCAGGCTCAGGACTCCTGCGGTCTATTTTAAATGTTGCCAGGCACTTCATCTTTGCATAAATTTATCTTACGGCTTTTGTTGCTTTTTTTGTACATAAGTCTCAGTATTGCTGTGGACATAGAGAACATTCAGCCTTTTCTACATGTCTGTGCAACATCTGGTAGATCAGAGTCTGGTTTCGTTCATCCTTGAAGCACTACACCCCTGAAACCCAGGTGAGAAAAAAGGAAGGAATTTACTAACTTTTGGCTTCCCCCAGGGCCCACTTTGGGAAACTTTGTTGGTACAGTTCTCTGGAGTATTAAAAAGTGGGATTGGCAGCAGCCAGTCCCTGACAGGGTTCTCTCCCTCCCCCCAAAACTTGCCAATTAATATGTTTTAAAAAACAAAGCCATTAGTGGCCTTAGTTTTCAAATCCTCTGAGTAAGAGTGTGCAGTCTCCTGGGAAGCCTCAAAGCCATGTTCACATGGGGATTTGGTATGTGGGTGGACAGAGAGTGGGAAGGAAAGAAAGTTGGAGTGAAGCTGTGCTCCTTTGATCCCTGTGATTTGCGTGAGATCAGTGAGGGGCTGCCTAGCGGAGAAGAGGAAGAGGAAGCATTTGATTTTGAACTTGAAAACGTGTCCCTTCAGCAAGGGGGGGACTGCAGGTAAGAGAAGGGGTAGGGGAAGCTGGTAGGCAATCCTCCCAGGCCAAGGAGAAGCAGAGAGCATCGTTCTTGTTTTGCTCCCAATGCCACACAGACACAGTGCCTGTTCTGACACTGGCACGTCCCCTGTCTCGAGGAAACAGCTTGGAGATGAAGCCTCCTGAAAAGCAGCCCAGTGACAGCTCTGCCTGAACACACACTCTGGGACTAGCCTCCCCCACTGCCTCCTCCTCACTCATCCTCTGCTGAACAAACTGTGAAAAGACCCAGAGCTGTCATGGAGCCAACGAGAGCTAAAGGCCGTGCAGCTGGCCAGGCCACCTGTGCTCTACTAATGCTAGCCAAAACATCCTTTCCCAAGCTCCCAGGTGAGATGGGCACGGGAGGCGGGGGAACCTGGCAATGAATGACTCATAGCTGGCATGGATAGGGAGGAGAGCAGGAGCAGCCTAACCGCTCTGATGGAGGGGAATTAGCAGTGTAGTTAGCGGCAGTGGGCTGCTCTCCCTGCAACGGCACAGTCAATCCGGCTTAACTAGGAAGCACTTGCTGTGTGCAAATGTCTGATGGAGGTGGGCACCCAACACACCCAAGCTGAAACCACCTCCCCCATTTCCTTCCTTGTGCGCTTCTGTGTGCCTCTCAGGTCTGTGGCGGTGCAAATACCGTCAATCTCCTTTTTGCAAAAACAATTGGACTCAGGGTGAGTCCTGCAGGCCGCCCTATAACTAGTGGGTTTAGAGTTAATATAGAGTGATAACTACTACGTTCTTACTAGAAGGAACTGATCTGAGACCTTTCCCAAATCTTTACATAAACCACTAGACTACTGTCCACGGTTAACATTTCACTCATTTCTCATTCCCACTGCATGTGGAGCAGCAACCTTGCTTAGCCACAAGGACGGGGCCCTCTAAAGTTTATAATAGTTGTAGGCACATATTGAGACTCAGGGGACTGCTAGTTCCTAAATCTCATCAGCAGAACACCAAAGAAATAAACATTTTGAGCCTGCTTTTGTTGGTCTGTTCCTGAACCTTGTTGATGCAGGAAGCGCTCTGCCTGTGCTGGGGTGCTGCAAAGCTTGGAATCACCCAAGGCTTCTGCCTGGTTCTGTATCGTACCGCTGTTGTTGCACGTTTGTCTCTGTGATGCTGAAGCCCCTCATTCAGATCAGCTGTGCCAGCACCCATTAGAAGGGACCCGCCAGGGAGCTGGAGAGTGCTGCTGAGGTGGGAGCAGCTGGCCCTTGGTGTGAGAACTGCTCCATCAGCAAATGTGTCCTTTCAGCAAGGGGGGGCTGCAGGTCTTACTGACCTGGCTACGTAACTGAAGGAGGTGAGTGTCTGCAATTTAAGTTCTCCTGATGCTTCTGCGATTTCATGTGCGTTTCTGGTTGGTGTTCAGTGATGCAAGGGTCAATGGTGCACCTGTTGGGAGTGATTCTGCAGTGGAAGATGTGAGTTGAGCTGTGCTCAGCCTGGTTTCTTGACAGGGATGTGAAGCGGTTGCTGTTGAAGGCCTGGAGCTGAAGGCTGTCTCTGGATGCACTCCTGGCTTTCTAGTATGCCTAAAGCTTCTGTAGCTCCCCCGCTAGAGAGCTAAGGGTGCTGCCGCTGCTGTCTCAAGCTGATGTATGCCCTGCACCCTGCCCTGCTGCAGGGGAGGTGGCCCTGCCCAGAGGGAGAAGTTGGAGGAAAAAAAAGTCCGAAGGAATCGGCACGCCCTGCTCCCCCAGACCTGACCGCCCGCAGCTGAGCTCACTCTGCGTTCACAGGCTTGCCTCTCCGCTTGCCTCAGGTAAACTCCCCGAAAACAGACTACTTTGGATTAAAGTCACCTTTATGGGATTTGGGGGGTGGAGGCTGGTGGGGCGGCGTTGCCCTGGTGGTAAGACGTCGCAGAGCTCTCTGAAGATCCGGTGAGGCGAGCGGTCCCTCGAGCTGAGGGCTCCGCGCCTGCTTGCTTTGGTCACTTGCCTGCGTTGTGTGATGTCTTGGCTGCCGAAACCTGGGAAGACAGTTAAACAAATCAACTAATCTCTGTGTTTGGTGTCTGCTTGTGGCTGTGTGAACACAATAAGGGATTAACTTGGTCTTTATCTAATTGGCTTATAAAGCAGGGAAGGGAAAATCGCTTTGTAATGCATGAGACCTCCTCTTAATAGAAACACAGAGACTAGAGCTTGTGCGTCCTTTCGGAGTAAACTCACACGCATCTCTTCCTCTTGAACTCCCCGCTGGCTGGAACCCAGCTTTTCTGGGCGTCATGTATTTATTCTCCTGTTCCTGATGATTTATTGCCAACTTGTTATAAAGCCTGGTCTCCTGTCATCACCAAGGATACTCTTCTTGTTAACATTCCTATTGGTAACTGTCGAGGAGTCTCGTAACGGGGCTCATTGCTTGGTAATTTCTCAGTGCTGTCGATGAAGAGGGCGTAGGGCTGGAGCCCCTAGGTAACCGCGGCCGCGTGCCCCGTGGCGGTGAAGCAGAGCCCTGGCGCTTAAAACCTGGATGTGGCCGTGGAGAGTTACCTCTCGGGTGGCAAGCAAGGACTGCGAGCTGGGGCAGAACTGTTCAGCTAAATATAAGTAGCAAAGAGTTGGCAAAAATCTGGAACTTGGGTGGGAAGAGAGGAAGGAGAATGGAGCAAAACCAGAGCGGGAGGAAGATGAGGGGCAGATAAGGGGGGGAGGCTTTGTGAGGGGAGAGAGGTGATTCCTTGTGTGTTTAGGAGAGAGAAGGTTGTTGGGATAGTTCTTTAACTTCTCACTGTAGTAAAACTTTGTCACTGTAATACAGTCCTGTTCGGTGTGCCTGCAACGTGGATGAAGGTTGGCTGCCTTTGGTTAGACCGGTCTGTCGCCTCTGCTGCCTCCGTGTGCAGCTGCTGCCGGGGGTCTGGGGTGGGACGGTCCGGCGTCGCCGTCGGGTGCGCCGCACCGCTGGGGTGCGCCGCGTGGGTCTGCGGTCCCTGACTCCCTGCTGCGCTCCCTGAGCGATGTGGCATCTAGATAGCTCTGCAAAATGGTTCCTGCTGGAGCCGCTGGGGGTGCGGAGCGTGCCTAACCCCTCCCCTGCGCGAGAACATGCTGCTGGGAGGGGGTGTGCGACTCAACTCGGGCAGCTTTAAGGAACTGCCTGTTCCTGGAACCGCCTGGGCTGCTCAGCCTCCCATGCAAGCATCTGTGTGCAGGGC